GAGCTCAGCAATGATTCAGCTAATGAGCTCCAGGTGAGGTCCAGGTGAATTCACAGAAATGCATTTGATAGTGCCATAATTTAAATTTATAACCTTAAGGTTTTTCTCTGAACTATGCAAGTGCATAACAGTGTTGCCATGGTATCAGAGCTGTGCGGTACTCGAGTACTTGTACTCAAATTTTGTACTTTAAGTACTTTTTATGTACTCGGTACTCAGTCCAGAGTACATTTCAAAAAAAGTTCTTGTACTTGTACTTATTTAAATTAAAAATGTAAAAATGGACACGAGTACATTGGTTGTAAGTACTCGAGTACATTTTTTGTACTGGAGTACATTTTTTGTACTCGAGTACTTTTGTTGTACTCGAGTACATTTAATGTACTCGGCATCTTTTTGTTAAGTTAACATAACCACTACTACATATTCAAATTTATCGCCATAATTATAATGCTTTAGCAGCTAAAGTTTAACGGTTCGGCAATATTCGGAATAAATCCTCGATATGGGAAGTTGGTAAAATATCATTGTGGTGCCCTACTTTATAGAGATATTACATATTACAAGAGGTAGTGCCCTTTTTTATCTCTGGTAGTGCCGTCATAATGTAGTATGTAACGGTTTTTTTTAAGAAATTTAAGATTATTCTGCAATACAGAATATGCATTAGTATTATTTTAAGTGTTTTGGTTTTTGTTATACTGGGGTAAGTAGGATTTTAAATATTATTTTATATTTGATTACCTACTCGATTAAGTTTTTGTTATATTTGGTACGCTTAAAAAGTTAGGTTATATTTTTGCATTCAATCTTGTTTTTTTGCAGCCATAAATGCATGTTACTTTAATTTAATTTCGTGCTTGCAGTTAAATAATGTTTAGGCTATTTATTAAATAAAATATATAATAAATTACTTGCATGAATAGGTATACCTATAGGTAATAAAGGTTATACCTATGTAAAAGAATAGTTAAACTATTTTAATATTATTTTTTTCTGTTTAAAATCGAAATAATTGATTATTTGGAAAAAAATATTCAAAACATAAATATTTAAATACGTGTATTAAAGAAATATAAAAATGCAGTTTTTTTTTAAATATCCCCAAGTGACCTAAACCTGATATTTTGTTATGTTTAACTTTTAACAACTTTTTTTGCTAGATACTGAAACCTAAATTACATTTTAAGAGTTTTTGGAAAAAGTACTTTGTACTTGTACTCGTGAGTACTTTTGGACTTTTTTGTACTTTGTACATATTATGTACTCAAGTACATTTTTTTCAAAGTACTTGTACTTTTACTCTTGTACAGCTCTGCATAGTATATACCATAAGTGTTGCCAAGTTTTGGGAATGGATTTATCTTACCAAGGCTTAAAAATTATCGTATTTTTAAATATATTTTTATAATTAATTTATGAATTATACTTAGCACGTGCTAGGTACATATATACATGTATAAAAATTAATAATCAGATGCAAGTTACTTTTTTAAATTTTAATAAAAAATGTTTTAAATATTTTTTATTTTATTTAAGAAAATAAATATTTATTTTAATTAATTTTAGCATTTTTAGTCCCTTAAGTAAAATCATTAATGACATCCCTTTGATTTCATAATGAATTCATCGTGTGACTCATAAAGGATCTCACGTTGCTCATCAAAAGTGCAACACTTATGCGTGCCACAGTGACATCACTGAATTAATCAGCAATGATTTTACGTTGATGTCACAACGAATTCATCGTGTGACTCATTAAGGATATCATGTTGCTCATCAAAAGGGGAACACATATGCGTACCTCAGTGACATCACTGAATGAATCAGCAATGATTTCACGTGGATGTCTTAAATGATGTCATAATTGTTATCTGGGTTATGAACTCTATAGGCTTTGAACTGAACTTTAAGCAAGGAATATTGAGAGTTAATGGAGAAGAAGTCGTGTTGCATCGATCGAAAGAAAAGAATATTCTTGTAATGTTAACAGAAGATGCTTTGATACCGGAACAAAGCGAGATAATATTGAAGGCTTCCTTGGATTGTAAATCAGAAGATGAAAGTATAATGATTCTGGAGCCGAGAATTGATGACAAAGAGGTCGCTCGAGGAGTTGTAGTAGGGAAGACATTAATACGTGTCGGAAAAGAAGTGCCTGTAAGAGTATTAAATGTTAATGGTTACTCTGTGAACTTGAAGAAAGGAATCGTTTTGGGAAACTGTTCTTCGGTTTCCTCGATTATTAGAGGCATTCGTCCCGGCCAAGAAAGTGAGCAATGAATTGACGAATCTTCTGTCGACTTCTTCAAAGGATTTGAAACCCAATGAAAGGATAAAGCTGAAAGAGCTGATATACAATTATCAGGATGTCTTTGACGATTTTCGTCAGCTGAACAACGTGACGAAGAAGGACAGCTACCCTCTACCTAGGATCGTTGACACCCTGGCTGGATCACAGATATTTTCAACTTTGGATTTAAAAAGCGGTTACTGGCAGGTTAAAATGGCACCAGAAGATAGAGAGAAGACGGCATTTACCGTGGGTGCAGGACTGTGGCAGTTTACTGTCATGCCATTTGGACTATGTAATGCCCCTGCAACTTTTGGAAGGCTCATGGAAATGGTTTTGAAGGGACTATCCTGGAAGACTTGGTTACCTTGACGACATCATTGTGGTTGGGAAATCATTTGAGGACCATATGAGGAACCTGAAGGAAGTCTTTCAGCGCTTAAGAAGTTCTGGCCTAAAGCTAAGCCCAAAGAAATGTCACTTGTTCCAGAGGGAAGTGCAGTATCTGGGCCATGTCGTTTCAAGTCAAGGAGTTGCAGTGGATAAACAGAAGGTAAAGACGGTGCGGAAATGGCCAATACCGAAAAACAAACATGACTTAAGACGCTTTCTTGGATTATGCACCTACTACCGTCGGTACGTACCAGGATTCGCAAAGGTTGCTAAGCCTTTGACACGTTTAATAGAGGGAGAAAGACGATTCCAATGGGACGACGAATGCCAAGAAGCCTTTAAAAACCTGAAAAACGCGTTGACCATCTCACCAGTCCTGAGTTATCCTTCCGGATGGTGAATTTATTTTGGACACGGACGCCAACAATGTAGGACTGGGAGCTGTTTTGTCGCAGATTCAAGAGGGAACCTTGAGGGACCCCTGCTGAGGTTTCACCCCACTCCGAATAGACCCTGCTTGATCCCGTTGTTATTTTAGTCCTTTGAAGCCTATGTTTGAGGTAAGACTCAAACCAAAGAAGTGCTGTTCCTCTTATTCCATAGTGCTCAAGTTTCAGAAGTAATATGTCAAAGTTTACACTATCAAAAGCTTTTCTAAAATCGCATGAAAGACCATATATATTTGATTTTTTGTCTAAATATTTAATAATAACTTTTGTTATGTTGAATAAGGCAGAGTTTGTGGACCTACTTTTTAAAAAACCATGCTGGTATGGACTAAGTATGTTAGAGCTTTTAATAAAATTCTCTACACGGACATACATTACCTTTTCAACAATTTTTGATGTCATTACCAAGAGTGATATGGGTCTAAAGTTGTTACATTCATAACTATCGCCTCCTTTAAAAATAGGACACACAGCAGATTTTTTTAGGCAATCAGGAAAAATTCCTTCCTCAAATGATTTGTTGATTAAATTAGCAAGTTTATCCGCCACCAAAATAATATTTTTTTTAAATATAAAAGGGTATTTGGTTTCATCCACAAGAGAAACTATTTTTTATGCAAGTTGTTAGGTTTATTATTTCCGTTCCTGTCGTGGGACTAATAAAAAAACTTTTATTGTTGGCTGGGCAGGAATTCTTCATAAAATCTCTAATTTTAGAGATTTCAGTTTTAATTTTATTTTGCTGTACTATAGTATATATTCTTAAAAAATATGTATTTAAGTTGGTCACGATTTCCCTAGTATTTTTTGATTTACTCTCTGTCTCTTCCTTAACTATATTCCAAATAGATTTGATTTTATTATCACTGTTTTTTATTTTGTTTTCGTATGTTTTTTGCTTAGCTTTTTTAATAACTTTGTTGTAAATTTTACATTAATTTTTAATGTGACATTCTATTATTTCTTTGCCCTGAAGATATAAAGGTTTTTTGTTGCTTAACAAAGATAGCAGTAATCTTTTTTTTTTCATGATTGTCTGATTCCTTTACTTAACCATGATTTTTGTTTGACTTTAACTTTTTTAAGTGGAAAACAATTTTCAAATGAGCTGCTGCAGATATTTGAGAATTCTAAAAATTGAATATTTATATTTCGGTTATGTAAGTAATTGTTATAAATTAGTTTTTGATTAATTTCATTAATAAATCTGTTGATGTTTAAGGTAGAATAAATACGCTTGGTTATGTATGAGTTAATGTTATTTGTTTTTGGTACTTGCACCGATAATGTTTGCTCTTTGTGATCAGAAAGTCCAGTTTCTGATATTAATGTTCTATATTCTGTAAGGTTTGTAAAAATATTATCGATGCAGGTACTACTATTTTGACTTATACGGGTGGGAGTGTGTACTGTTTGAGTTAAATTAAAAGTAGATAACAGAGTTAATAGTTGGGCACAGTCTCGACTTTTAGTTAAAAAATCAACATTGAAATCGCCACAAAGAATAATTTTATTATATGGCTTAGAGAATACCTGAGACAATAGTAACTCCAATCCTAATATAAATTTTTGGAAGTCACCTGACTCGGAATTCTGACTTATAGCTCGGAACACTAACGAACACACCCACAAAAACCCACGAACACCCATGAACACCCACGAACACTCACGAACACACCCACGAACAACCATGAACATCCACAAACACTCACGAACTCATTCGGAAAATTTCCCCTCACTCCCCCCCGGGACCTGCTGTATCAAATTCTCTCTATGCTCTACCCTCTTCAACCGCTGGTAATGCATCAGCCAGCGCCTCTATGGCAAATCAGCCAACCACTTATGTCCCTCCATCCCCTACCACGATGCCGGCTAAGGGCCTACCACCAACTTCAGGTCCCGACCCTGGCCCATCCAGCCCGAACTCCAACCAACAATCCCAGTGCATTCCGCCTATAGTGCTACGGAAAAAAGATAGATGGTCCAAGGTCTCTAAAGAGCTAAAAGCCAGAGGCCTGTACTTTAGCAATGCCCGCACCACGTCAGATGGCATAAAATTCACTCCGGAATCGATAAATGCCTATAGAGCAACCGCCAAATTTCTAGACTCAAACCGCGAACAATTTCATACATATCAACTGCCAGAAGACCGACTTACTCAGGTGATTATACGCGGTCTTCCCCTGGAACTAGAGATTAAGGAGGTAGCTGATGAGCTTGGAGAACTGGGGTTTCATCCTAGACTAAATCAGATCCTGAACGCAGAGATATTCCACTAATCCTGGTTAAGGTCCCCAAGGACGAACAAAAAATCTATGACATCTCCACTGTTACATCAAGGTGAAAATAGAGTCACTGAGACGCTCCAGCAATATGGGGCAATGCTATAGATGCCAGCGATTCGGCCATGCGCAATCCCGTTGCACAGCCACTCCCAAATGTCTCAAATGCGCGGGTGATCATGATTCAAGAGATTGCCCAAACCCAAAGAACTCAACGACCAAATGTGCAACTGCGGGGAAGCGCACACGGCAAACGCACCGATATGTCCTAAGAACCCCAAACAAGCCAAAAAGCAGCCAACTAAGCCCCCACGGTAGTCAACCAAGGCCTTTCGTACAGCCAAGCAACAGCCCCACCCCCATCGATGCTACCGGGCCCATCAAACGTATGGCTACCCCAGCAACTCAACATTGCTGAAGTACTAACATCCCTTACTCAGGCCATACAAGGGTTAGAATCCAAGATAGCAACCCAGCAAGCTTGGATGACCAGGATTTCTACTCAAGTACCTGGAATATGAAGCCAAAATCCCTTAAAATCATCTCCTGGAACCCAAATGGGATTAAAACGAGGAAGAACGAACTGGAAGCGTTAATTTCGGAGGAAATGCCTGATCTGGTCCTTCTATGTGAAACTAGACTAAAAACTAATTATACCCCAAACTTCCTTAACTACAATATATATAATAGCCCTAGACCCAATCAAGACGGTGGTGGCGCGCCACCAGCGTCTTGGTTGGGCCGCCATGGCGGCGTCCTTATTCTTGCCAGAAAAGACCTGGACCAGTGCGCGGCCATTAACCCGGTGCCCTCTATTTTCGAATCGGTTGCCATTTACGTGGATACTGCAATATGCGGACGCATAAAGATTATCTTACCTCCAGGACGAACCTTCCCCGAGGCCCACATCCAAGCCGCCCTGGATGAGAACATCCCAACAGTCATGGCAGGGGACTTGAACTCTAAAAGCCCCGCCTGGAACAGTCGATCTACAAACGGCTACGGCCGTAATCTACTTAGACTCTCCAACACCTTAGGCTGGGATACATTTGGCCCGGACACTCCCACCTATTTTGCTCCAAATAGCCGCCCTGATGTTCTCGATATGGCCATCTCCAAATTATTTCTCTCTGACATCCAAATCACGGCCTCGGTAGACACCTCCTCGGATTATAACCCGATCGCAGTCACTTTGGGAAATAATAGACAAGTCCCCCAAACTTATTCCAGAAAAAAACATCTTGGCCCCGTTTCCACAGCAAACTGGAACATATCACATTTCCGGAAGAGATCCCTACAACCATCCTACTACTAGAACAATTCTCTGCCTAAATCACTCAAGTCATCTCTAAGTCCCTAGCGGACTCTACCCTCACGTTGGTGGAGGAGTACAGATCTCCTTACACCCTTCCCAGAAGGCTCTAGGACCTTCTACGCAGAAGACGCACTGCCAAAAGGCGTGTACAGCGCACTATGGATCCAGCAGACAAGAGAATTTTCAACAACCTAGAGATGAACTACACGAGTATAAAAATGCCCATTGGACGCAGAGACTTTCAAACTGCCTCTCCGGAATTTTGGAAACTTACCAAAAACCTAAAGTCTAAGGGCCAAAACTCTATCAATCCCCTACATGGATGAAAAAGCCGCAACTTTTGCCGAATACCTAGAGCGTACCTTCACCCCCAACGAAGGTTTCGACGAATACGAAAAGGACGATAGGGCAATCCGGAGATCCATCAGAATCCTGTCTGAATCAGAAATTGCTCCTGAAATCCCCCTAGCAACGGAGGAGGAAGTGGACGCTATAGTCAGAGCACTAAAAAGAAAAGTAGCCCCCGGCGACGATGGTATCAGCAATCTGGCCCTGAAGAAACTCCCCAAACCAACCATGGCATTCCTTACCCCCATCATAAACGGCATCTTTACTACACAACACTTCCCAAGCAAGTGGAAATCAGCCAGAGTGTAATGATCCCCAAGCCGGGACAATCGCCCGTCCACCCAGTAAATCACCGTCCTATATCGCTGATCTCATCTCTGGCCAAGGTGGCGGAGAGAATCCTTAAATCAAGACTCGACCAGCAAACGGAGGATAGTAAAATTCCGTTTGAGCAATTTGGCTTCAGGCTCAGCTTATCCACAGAGTTGCAACTTATCAGGGTGGCAAAACACATTACCAAGGGTTTTGACAAAAGACAAAAGACAAAAGACAGGAATGGCCCTCCTCGACATAGCCAAAGCATTCGACAAGGTATGGCACCCTGGCATCCTTGTCAAAATGATTACCATCGGCATATCTCCTCAACTGGTCAAACTTACCACCTCGTACCTGAAAGGAAGAAAATTCTGCGTCTCGGTTGGAGCGGCAACATCCACTCCCCACCCAATTCTGGCAGGCGTCCCGCAGAGGTCTGTGCTGTGCCCCACGTTGTTTAACATATTTATGTCGGATATCCCTCGGAATTGAAGAATGGGCCGACCGCTGCCGCATCCAGATAAATCCTAGAAAATATCAGGCAATCATTTTTTTAAGGGCCCAAACATCACACTGCCACCTAACCAATTGTACACAAATCTTCACGTTTTCGTCACGTTGTGCTACCTGGGATGGGTCTGAATTGGACTTACTGGATTGAATTGGTTTTTACTGGTATTTTCCATGATGGAAAAGTCCAATTAGGATTCTAATGGTTTTTATTGGTTTCGATTGGATAAAGCTACCTATAGGTAATTTCCAATTAAATTCAATTTGGCATTTCCAGTGTAATATTCTAAAAAGGAATCTGCTAATTGGTTATTCCCAATAATTTAAAATATGGAAAAATCCAATTAGGATTCTACTGTTTTTAGCTGTTTCGATTGGATAAAGCTACCTATACGTAATTTCAAATTGAATTCAATTGGGCATTCCCAGTGTAAGATTCGAAAAATCTGCTAATTGGTTATTCCCAATACAATACAAATATCGCAAGAGGGCTCTCGTGTAGCTGCGCAAAATCAACGAGGTTGAGACCCCATCATAAAGAAAAAACAACAACAAGTCTTTGGACGCCATTTATTAGCGGTTTTTATATTAGCCGATTACTGTGTTAAGTGCCTAGTGATAGTAGTGTACTTATATCTTAAAAAAATGTTTATATGTGTAAGGTTTAGGGACGATGGCGTAAGAATGGTTGTCACAGCGGACAAAATAAAATAATTTGACATAAACAATATCGATTTCGACCATGCCTACAATGATAGTAAGAGTTATATGTATGAATACATACATATATGACAAAAAAAAATAATAAAGAAATAAAATTACTCGGTAAAAATAAATTGTTTGTTTCTTCTGTGAAAAATTAATTCTGGTTTTTACCCGGTAATCCTTCTGGGATCTAAAATTATTTTTGAATGAAAAATAAACTGGTTGGTATTTTCTAATCCCAATTTTAAAAAAAATAATTAGTTTTAATTGGTTGGAATGGGTTTGGCGCTATGAATTACCAATTCATTCCATGAGCATTTCTATTGGATTTACCCAATAGAGACAAGCACAGGCATGTATTGGTATTTCCAATCCAAGCCGCTGACTTCATTGGAAATTACCAATAGGAATACAACTGGAATGAATTGGTGATTCATAGCGCCAAAACACATTTCAACCCAAAAAACTAAACAATGTTTTAATATTCCAAAAATTCCAACCCCATGTCAACAAACATAATAACAAACAAATTAGAGGCTATTTTTGATTAACGTGCATTTTAACGAAAAAAATTAATATCTTGAAAACTATTGACTTTATGTTTAGTCTAAATCAAATTGTATATGCTATTAAAATTTCAAATCCATATCGTTTGCGTTTCTCCAGAAACACCCTGTATAACATTATAATAAATATAAAAAAATGCAAAATAACTAATTACAAAAAATCGAAAAACAACTGAATAAAAAATATAGATACATCTAAATAGCCGATTGCAACATAAAAAGTCTTTTTTTTCAAGCGGCCATGATATACAACCTTATATGCCTGTATAGAGATAGTTGAAGTGCGTCTTTTTCATTTGCGGCAGACAAAAAACTCAAAAAAGCCTAGGGATAGAAGTAAATCCATAGGTGTCCCAATAGACGTCAAATAATAAAATTAATTTAGCATTTCATACAAAGCAATCACGATGTATTAATTATATTAATTATAATCGCACGGAATATTTAGGGATTATTTATTAAATTTTAATTGAACGAAATAAAGAACAACTAGTTTATTAGTATAATATTATGATGATAGACGAGTCGCCAATGTCGGAACTCCAAACAAATGTCAGTACGTCAAAATTAATTCAAGCGCAGCATTTTGACAGAGCAGGGTTTATTTTTAGTTTAGGCTTTGTTATCTATGGTTTAGGATATTTATCGGCATTGTAAGTAAGGGTTATAAGTTTTTTTAGTTTTTATCAATAATTTCTAATGCTTTTAGCCAAAATTTTATACCACATGAGTTATGAGTAGATAAAATAATTCTATTTCTTATCCTATTTATATTACGCCCTTGAAAAAAAAATTGTATATGTTATTTGGAGTAGAAGCTCTTTTTGTGCTTCGTACAGTTGCCAGCCTCAGCTACGCTTCGGCCGTCAATCTCGGCACTCACCACAAAAACTTACTTTCCTCAGTTAGGAATTAAAATTGAAGCTTGCTTATCGAGTAAAAAATAAATTGAAGCTTGGCTGTGGAGCAAAAAATTAAATTAAAGTAGGTTAAAATTTATAACTTGCTGACACTGTCGCAATCAGTCATATGCAACTTATAAACTGAACTGTTAAATTATCTTTCATGCTTCCAATGATAGGTTACCATAGAGAAAAGTCTGTGATGCCTACTATGATCAAAATTAGTAAACTTAAAAAAAAATTTAAATTTATAAATAAAACTAATTTTAGCTCCATCTATGGCGATTTTTTAAAATAAATATGTAAGAATTGTGTGTTACATATAAAATATTGTAT